ACATGCACTCTATGGTTGCAAGTCACCTCTTTAGCTCCTTTCTGGGCTCCAGGGGCTTCCCCTCCTAGGGAACTGCCAAGTTTTGCCAAGAGTGGGCTGGATTTGGGGTCACTGTCTACCCAACTATCAGGAAAAGCTGAGGAACAAAATCCTCACTCCTTCCTCTCTGGATTCCACCACCAGAGAAGCGGCATGGCCTGAGAGAACCCCCTTCAGGTTGCAAGACTGGAGTGCAGCCCTCTCACCAAGCTCTGCCCTGGACAAACCTCACCCTGGCCGCTCCCCTCTCCCTCTAGAGACTCCTGGAGGAAGAAGCGGTGCTTGGAAAAAATGCTCTCACCCCACGGCTGAGGAGAAAGGAAGAGGGAACAGAGAGCACCTTCCCCGGCTGCCCACAACACAAGGCTGCATTCCAGGAAGAGCAAGCATAAGATCTGCAAGCCACAGGCCCCTTGTCCCTCCTCCCTACCTGGTCCCCATAAACCATAACCCCCTCCCACAGGGAGACCACCACCCCATCCAGCAAGACCACAGCTCTTTTCTGACGCATGGCAACTTTCTTACATAATATCATGGTGTCCGGGCCTACCCTCCATCCCTGCCCACCTCCCCAAACCGCCATTGAGATCACACTGGCAAGCTTCAGGTGACCCAAAGACACTGGGATTTCTTAGTTGAGAAAGCAGCCTTCCTGGAGCCCACTCACACAAGCAATTTAGCCTGGGGCCTAGGCAGATAGGTTCCCCAGAGCACAATCTGATCTCTCAGAAGCTGAGCTCTTAACCCTCCTCTGCAGGGGCAGAGACCCTACAAAGGCATGCAGGCACCAGAGGTTGGGACCTTCTAGGGGGCAGTGGGTCACACAGTTGTGCCCAGGGCCTAAGGACTTAGAAAGAAAGTTTCATAAGTTTCATCTGTTCAAGCACCAATGTCCTGGGATACTATTTCCCTACCACAAGCAAGACACTCTTCATTTCCTCTTCCCCGGCAGGAGTAAAAGACAACAGGAACAGGGCCTGGAACTAGTGAAATGATACCAACCATCTGGCCTGCATAATCTTCTTCAACCTCCACAGCTATCCTATGAAGTATCATAATCCTCATTTTACAGGTGAGGAAACTGAGGCTCAGGAAGTTAAACAATACCCCAAAACATGCTGCAATGGAAAAGCTAGAATATGAAACTAAGTTTGCCCAGGCCTCACTCCCATGCATCTCTAGACTTCCTTCACCATCACTGCCAGGGGTGCCAGGCCACACACCATCCAGGAATGGTGTTCTGAAGTGGGTGTGGTTTTGGAATCTGAATTAATGCCCCCACTGACTGTTATTGCTCCTGACTGTGTGACCTGTGAGCGCCAGAGTAAGTGTGCGTGTGTTGCGGGTGGAGGGAGGGTGATCTGAATTCCAAAGAGCAGTTTCCAACACCAAAGTTATGCTGTAATGCTTCTGATTCATAAAATGAGCTCACAGTCTCAGAGTATCCTGAATGCTATTCTGAATGCAAATGCACATCCCTTAGTAAGAACTTGGGATTTCAGCATACTCCACCTAGCCCCAGCTCAGAGTGCAATTTCCTTCAGCCCCACACAGTACAGAGTTCTAATGTGCAGAAGCAATTCCTCTCAGTGAGTGCAACTACTGGCTGCATTTCCTGCAGCCGGCAGTGAGTCAGGGGACGGGAGTCCCTGAGTTGCTCTTATACTGGTGCCTGTGCATGCACACACACAGCAAAGGTGCCAACCTGGACCAGACAATGGAAATGCCCAGATTAGCAGATCCCTAGGCAGGACACTCCACAACTCTTTCACTCTGAGGTCCCCTTGGCATCAGGACGACCAAGATCACCTCCAGTAGGCCAGCTACAGGGCAGTGGCAGGAAATGGTGTTTCACCAACACCAGAATCACTTGCGGTACACAGATCCTTCTGAAACTAATGGTGCAATGTGAAGAGGTCCCAGCAGCAAGGACTCACTGGGCCCTCCTGCACGTGCCAAGGCCTTTCTTTCTTTCTTTCAATGAAAATCCTTCACTGGTTCAACTAACATGCACTAAACACTGGTTGCCAAGCATTGTCAGAACAACACAGAGTTTACAATAGAGTTGAGGCTATTATTTGGCATATGCTGAGTCTTCACAGAAACTTGGTAAAGGAGATAGAAAGACTCAAGCCTAGAGTCTACGTTTTTGACCACCATGCAATAGTATACATACAAATAACTACCTAAGGGGACAGTGAGCATTCAGAAGGCTAAAAACTCAGAAATGGTACTCAAAACAGGACTAAACGGATAAGCAGGAGTCTTCCACCTACTTGTGGCCAACCTCACCCCACGAAGAGCAAGACATTCTCATTCTTTTTTTCTCTCTCCTTCTTCTCTCCATTTCTCCCTCTCATTGGGGATTGAACTCAGAGGTGCTCCACCGCTGAACTACACCCCATTTTATTTTTATTCTAAGATAGATTCTCACTGTATTGCCCAGGCTAGCCTCGAATTTGTGGTTCTCTTGCCTCCACCTACCAAGAAGCTAGAATTACAGGCATGCACCACCACACCTGGCAATGAGCAAGGTTTTCTTTGGGAAGATACAACAGACAGAAATTACTAAGGCCAGAGATTCCAGAACTGGGCCCATTCCTTCCAGGAAACTATACCTGCTGAAACTCCCATCCTCCTGCCACTCCCCTTCTCTTCCTGAGGTCGTGGCTCCTGAATAGCCTTTCCCTGGTTTCTGCGGCCACAGGAAGCCCTCTGCTACAGCCCTGACTATACGCTGCTTTTGTTCCCCTTCCATTTATTCAAAGCAGCAGCCTACAGGGTCAAACACTGGGGCTATTTTTAAGATCTCTGCCTAAAAGTTAAACTCTTAACCCTGTGAGCATTCCACAAGCACTCTTGGGGAGGGGAGGCTGACATCTCCGAGGAACTAAATTCTGCCTAGTACTCCGAATGGTCACACTGGAAGTGGGCAGGCTGGTCCAGGAAAGGCTGGATGACCTGGTGAGCAGCTTCTAAGCTCCTCACCAGTTTGACCCCTGGGAGCTATACCGACCAGAGAAACCAGCCAGAGGCGAATCCAATTAGAGTGAGGACTGGAGGAGGGCCATGCTATGAGACAGTTTATCATAGTAATTGAATGTTCATACCCTTATTATTCCCTGTGCAGCAAGGATCCACAGATTATTAACCTAGGAAGATTTGTCCTTTCAGTTTGGTTCTGAAGCCACCTAACACCCGTGGAAAGGGCGTACTTCTCTGATCCTAGAAGCACATAGCACACCTTCCCTCTGAGGCTCTGGAGCAAGAAAGGTGATTCTGCACCCTCAACAGATCTGGTGAAGCTGGAAGATTTGCAGTTCCTCCCATTGTCACCAGACCTCCTGTCTCAGTCCTGAAGCTACAGGGACAGGTCGGCCAAGACCCCCCAGCCCGCAGGAAATCAGACACCCCCCCCGCCCCCCGCCGCAGCTGCCAACAGGAATCCCCCACACACGGGTGCTACAATGGCCTCCATGACCAGCCAGTGCTCCTCCAGCTCCTTCCACAGGCCGGTACACACAGCTCTCACCTACGTGGGATGGTGGAAGCAAGAAGCAGCCACCGAAGTTGGAGCCAACCAAGTTTTAAATGGGGCAAATAACTTCCCCTTTCATCTTTCCAGAAGCTCACAGCAGACAACTGCCTGGGGCACTTGGTGGCCTCCTCTCTGGGTAGCAGGCACCTCCTTCTGCGGCCCTGCAGTCTTCCTGGGGACTGAGGCTCGCAGGGTGCACCAGGTTCCTCAGTACCCCGCTCAGCCTTACCCTAGAAGCCTGAGTGCGGGGCCCAGAGAAGCAATCTGATGCACACCCTCATGTGTGTTTGCGCGCGGGCCGGGGGGGGGG